AGTCTTTCTATCACACAGAGATCATTGTAAAGTCAATTATGACAAATGTAGTTAGGTTAAAATGATAAGAACAATCTTGTTATTTGATCTTCCTTTTAATCCATTTTAAATTTGTTCTTGTTTTTATTATTTTCTGCTTCTTACTCAATTGAGGTTTTTATCTCTGTTTTGTTTTTGACATTGGTCTTGAGCTTTGTTTATTTGCTTCCTGTTTGTGTCTTGTTTGATTTTCTGTATATGAAGCCCAGGATAGGTAAATCTACAGAGACAATTACTGGATTAATACTTAACTAGGGGCATAGCTGTGGAGATTGGGGGAAATGGGAAACTAACAACAATGAGTATACGAAGAAAAATGTTCGGAAATTGATTGTGGTGATGATTGTGCAACTCTTTTCAATGTATTTGACTGATTAAATTCTGATATGCAAATTATATACCAATAAAACTATTCTTAAAAATAATTCTTTTAAAGGACAAAAGAAAAGGAGAGAAAGTCACAAGGAGAGAGATGAGCAATTAAACTTATCCTCTTTTTAATGGAGAGGTAAAGAGCCAAGAGGGGCTACATATACCACTAGCAAAAGAACAGGATGTTGTGTCAACCAGTAATATGAGTTGGAAATCTTCCATTCATTGCCACAGTTTGAGGAAAATGTAAGGAGAGATGATGAAAGTTTTAGTCCTGCAGAATCTAAAGTCTATCAATAGGGTAGTCGCATAATTTCACGTCAACTATAAAAAATGTAAGGGCGGAGTTTAAGCTGTCAATCAGGTCACAGCCTGATGGTGCCTACTCCTGGTTGTGACCTTCTCATAAGGAGGGTACTGGGAACCTCCGCCCTCTCTTTCTGCTTTCACCTTCCTGTTGAAGAGAGACTGGGAGACCTGCAGCAGCCCTTCTGACCCACAAGACTTTTCACCCACTGGCCTGCATTTTGCATCATTGCTTGTGGAGGACTAGTATTGGACTTATGGATTTGATCTCCACTGGGCTGAGACAACATACATGTAAAACCCATTTCCTATTTTAATTATTAGCCTCCTTTGAACAACTCCAGGGTACAAACACTTGGTTCTACTCATGTTGTCTAGGATTTTGAACACTGAGATAGAAACTATTATGTAGGATGGGATGTAGGGAGGAAAAGAAATAGCCGTAAAAGTATATGATAAAATCATGGCTTGCAAAAGAGAGAACTCATTTGCGTCATACTCAATCAGTTTATTATAATCTTCTAAAGTACTTCACTGCTTTATATATGAAGCTATTGATGAATATGAATTTCAAAGATTTTTCAGTATTAGAATGTAGATAGTGAGTCTGGTATATTCTTAGGATAGAGATCTCTACTAGGTAGTAATTATAATCATCTCTCCTACAAATACATTTACTGAACAACGAGAACACTAACTGCTTCTTTCTCATTTTCTCCTCTAACAAATGCTTAAGAACATCTTGATACCAACATCTATTATCTGTTTACTAAATATCAAACTCTTTTAAAAGAAATATCTGAAGATATCCTAGAAAATGGAAAAGGAGTATTTACAGAGATACAATTTTAGGGTGCATTGATACCTTTTCCCATAAATGTAGGCAAAATAATGGGTATCTGTCACTTGGAAGCAGATGTTCATTTCAAAGTTGTGTCCTTTCCCCCTATACTTAGAGTACGGCACTTAATCTTAAACATTACATAAATCGGAGAGATTTAATTAAAAACTTGAAGAAATGTGTTACCGTTAATTGAATTCTTGCTACAGTTACCTTTGCAAACCAATGTTAATAAAACTCCAGTTCAAAGTGGATGGGTTGGGGCATTGAGATAGCCATTTATTTCCTTACCTGAGACGCCAACATAATCTGCTCGGTAAAATAAAGAACCCAATTAGTGGAGTTCTCATTCGCAGCTCTATTGATCAAGTTTACTCACACTCCTAGGATTTGCCAAACAAAACCAATAAGAGAGTTAAAGGCCATTGGACAAGGTCAAGTGGAGTGAGAAGAGGAAACCACGCCCGGCAGGTCTGAAAGCCTTTCACCTGTGGAGCAGCTAATGGACTTGCTCCTCTGCAGGGCTGGGCTCCGCTAGAGCCCCCGCCCTGCTCCGCCCCTCCCCGCGTTACCAAGCTAAAAATTGCCCGGGGCTTAGAGGCAATCGGGTCATCGGCGTGCTCACGGGGGAAAGCTGCTTACTTCAGGGCCGAACTGCTCCGGTGGAGGGAGCGAGAGGGAACCCCCGCCTCGTTGCCGCCTCGCGCCGGGCCGAGGGTAAGGAAGGCGGGCAGGGGGCGGCCAGAGGGAGCGTCCTCCACGACGCCGCGCTCCACGCGAGTCTGCAAACTTCGTGGCCGCTGCAGTGGAAACTCCCCGCGCACTCTCCGCGCCCGCTTGGGAGGGGTCCGCCCCGCGGCCCCGCCTCGGGGACGGCGCTTCCCCTGCGCCTCGGGACCGAGCAGCCTTCCCGCGAAGTCCAGACCCCCTGAGGACGCGTTCCCTCCCCACTTGCATCCCGAACCCCGCCCAAATCATCACCGGGGCCGCCGCCCGTGGCGCTGGGCCCCTTCCCTGTGGCTCAGCGGGAGGACACTTGCTCCGAAGCCCGTTGGCTTCCCGCCCTGCACAACTGCGCCGGGTCAAAGGGCCACAGACAAACTTCTGCCTCGCCCTGCCCACTCCCAGCTTGGCAAAGCTCCCCCCTCCCCCGCCGGCAAACCCCCACACAGCGAAACTCCTAGGGCGCTGTTGCGGTCTGGGCATGCTCAGTACCACGGCAGGTTCTGATGGAAAGTAAAAAAAAAAAAGCTTTGTATTATGCTGCCTCCTTCTTCGGTGCCTACGGCTTGCAGAACAGGTTGTGGGGCAGCCCTGCGCCTACCCAGAGGCTTGATCTTCCACCCTTGGTGGTGTCTCCTTGGAAGGTGTCACCCCTCTTAGTGTCCCTCCTCCCCTGGCCCTCCCCAGCCCCCCCGGCCCGGGTCCCAGTCCGGGGATGGAGAGACACTCGCAGAACTGGGAAGGGCGCTGCTGGCTGAGCGGATCCACCTATTATGAGTGTGCGTTGATTGGCTCCTGCTCGCAGCGTCCCCGCGGCCGAGCCAATCAGGCGCCGGGGCTGGGAGCTGATGGGCGGCCGCCTCCTCACGGGAGGGATTCCTGGAGAAGCTGCAGTGTGGGGATGCTCTAGCCCGAGAACTGCCCCCACTGTCTTTCCACCTTCTCCTCCTCCTGCGGCGGCGGCAGTTAGCGGCGGCAACTTGAGGCTGCACCCCTGGCGAGCCCCGCAGGGTGCTGTTCAGCGGAGCCAGGGGCTCAGCGCCCCGAAGGGGTGTGTGTAGGGTGGGGGCGGCCAGCTGGGACCAGCTGGTGGCCCTGGGAAACCTCCCACACACCCACACCCACACACCCCTTTTGTGTTGCAGACTGCCCCTCCGGAGCAAAGGCGCAGAAGAAGGCGCGTGCCTCCCCTGAGCCCGCGCGGACGGCAGTGGGGACTGACACCCGGCACCACCTCCCGGTTCTTCCTCCAGGTAAGGCAGCGCGGGACTGGCAGCGCGGCCACCTCCGCGGCGCCCGTGTGCTTGGTTTTCTTCTCGGTACACTTGGGTTTGGGTGGTTGGCGACTGAGAACTAGGAAGAGAGCCCCGGGTGGCCTATTGTGAGGACTATAATGAGACCACACGTGCCTCTCCTGGAATGGCACTTTGTACAACGCCCGTGTTTAGAGCCTGGAGTTGATGCTGGGCATCTCCCATCTTCTCACCCCCTCTTTCTTTCCTTCCTTCTCTCTCCTCTGCCCCCGCCCCCCAGCCCCCCAATCCCCACCTCTTTTCTCGCTGTCTCTCACCCTTCTCCCATTATAAACTGGGGCAGGGTTTCTTTCTCCGCCTTGGGCGTGGGGTAGGGTGGGGAGGTGGGGGGAATCGCCTTTTCTGAGATGAAACTGAGGGGGGAGGGTGGTGGTGAAGACAAGAGAAAGATTTCGTCTTGCCTAGTGGAGGGATAAAATAGAATACAATCAACGGGAAAATTAGAGTGCAGAAAGCAATTAAACGGAATAGGGGGTAGAAGATCTCCCCAGCTCCAGGCTGCCTGAGAAGGAAAGCATCAAGTTTGATTTGATCTCCTTGCAAGTGGCTCCGTCTCTCCCTTCTTTCCTTTCAATGGAACAAAAATAAACCCACCATCCAACCCACTTTCAACTGCTTAATTGCTGTTGCTTTTAAGCGCCGGCCATCTGACTTCTCTTGTTTCCATTTGTCCTGTAGGGTTCTTTGGTGTTGCACAACACTGTTAATGTCTCAACTTTGAGGGGCTTTTGAGTCAAGAAATACATTTTGAAAATAAGCATCACTTCGCTGAGACTCTCTGGAGTGGTCTTTAGGTCGATGAGATGGGCAAAATGTAAAGTTTCCAGACATTTATAACCAATACTGATATTCTCAGGAGGTTTGGATTTCTACTTGGAGAAAGCTAATCTTCTATTTAGCTCTGTGTACAGGTTGATATTCACTTTGTCGAATATTTAGCCTTCGGGAAAATTAAGCAACCATTTAACTTTTATGTAAAAGCCACCTTTGCATGGATATTCAGTTCATTTTACTGTTCTACTACCAACTTGTTTTTTCTGCCTAGCGTTCAAAGCCGTGCCTTCCCTTATTTTCTTTCAACATGAGAGCATGCAATCGATGTAAACATGATGTTTATGCAATTTCAGTTCTCCTTTAGAAGGTACGTGGAGGCTCAGTTGTTCAAGAATCTCTTGCTCAAAAAGTTTAGAAAGTAATGGTAGGAAGAGAGTCTCAAATTAAAAATAAAATCTTCTAGGGGAAACGATGTGCTTGTGTCTTGTTTTAAGAAAGAGAAAGGTTAAAAACACACTAAAAAAAAAACAGGTGTCCCTGTGGCCTTCATACACAACAGATCATGTAAACAGTACAGGGAAAGAGTCTTGAAGGTAGCTTCCATAATCTCTAATTCCTCCATCAGTGATATAAGCTGTCTTTTCCTATTACTCATCAGAGACAGCTAAGTGATTACTGTCTGATGGGAGGAGAGAGCAGTGCCTGGGTAAATATAATGGGAAAGCATCTCAAGTTGGTCCTAAATAAGCACTGAAAAGCCAACAGATGTTAGTATCCAGATAAATTCTTTCTGTGGACTGTCAGGGGAAATGCCAGATCTCATCTTTTTATTCTTCCCCAGATGTCTACTTGCAATAGGAATAGGGAATCCTTGTAACTCTTCTTGACCTTACATAGTTAGTGTATATACCCCAGAAAGTCTTGTTTCCTCCACATATTTTTAGTGCTTATGTTTATACTTTAACTTGACTAAGAGTTGACTTTGTCATTAATGCAATGTGTATTATTTCCTAAGCCATTTTCTATTTGAGTCAGTTCTCTCTCCTCCATAAGCAGGCACCCAGAGTCAAAACGCTAGGGCTTTGCCATTTAAATGACTACAACACTTTTTTTTTAATGTAGCATCACAGTTAAAATGCTAACTCCAATTTTTAGAGGTGCCACCTTTTGGTTGCAAGGACAAAAGGACAAGCACTTAATTACCTCATGTGTATATACTACTGACGAACAAGTTTAGACAGGAAGAGATGCACAAAAATGAAACCAACCACTTTCCATGACAGCAAGAGAAGATTTTATTTGCCTCTTTCTTCACTGTCTTAAGAAAAATATAAAAGTTTGGGCTTGATCTGAGGTATTTGTTTTCATGACTTTTTAATAAATGTTAATTATGGCAAAAATAGGTACTAGAAACATACATGAGTCTTGAATTTCATATACACATGGGAATTTAAGTCTTTCTATATTAGAAATCAGAACTAGCACCAGTACATAGTGACGGACTGAGGAGAGGCTTTTACAAAGAACCCAAAAGAAGATAATAATGTCTTAAGAAATTATTATCCTGTCGCCTCACAAAAATGTTCTAGTATGACAATTCCTACAATCTCTATCTTTTTAAAGGATATCTTGGTAAATCTTATTAAAGTTTCAAAGCAAATACATAGTTATATTTTAGGTTACTTTTATTAGAACTAAAGATTGCTATTATGCAGAAAAAAACTAAAATACTAATTCCACACACAATAAACACTAATAGGGATTTGTTTGAAAAGTAGTCTTTAAACTTCATTTCATGAAAACACTAGTTATTTTGTCTGGTCAGATTATCATGTGAGTCTAATAAGGAAATCAGATGATGGATAGGTTGGTATCCGTCACACTTGGTGCTAAGTGAAAATAAGGCTAGAATATAATAAGTTGTTTTAATTATATTTGCAAAATGAACCGGAACATAATAAATAAAATGCAAAACATGTTAACCATCTGAAACTTACTTTGAATTTTCAGATAGCCTAATAACACCATGGATTTCATATCAGTTCATTTCATTTGATGCCAATGTAGTCAATAAACTTAGAATGAAATCACAGAATAATAATCTTAAGGGCCACAGAATTAACATGGACGTTATTTGAGCCTGAGATGCTACTACTCATGTGATTTTGAGTTTGTGCAACAGCAGGGAGGAAGGAGATATTAGTTCTGAATTGGAGCTTAATTTTTTTTTCCCCCTAAAGGTAGTGATTAGATGAATTTTTGGGTGAGAGCAAAAATAAGTTTTATAACATAATGGAACAAATTTGCTGTGACATTACAGAAAATCAAGAATGCTGTTAGGCTTTCTGCCATAGGATAAAGGATTTTGCAAAATACTTTAAAAATTAAATATTGAATCCACTTTTGATATATATTAAAATGGTTTATTACTCATAAATAGATCTGTACCAGTAGGTTAAGATGCTTGCTGGCTAAATTTGTTATCCAATGAAGTTGGTCAAAGCTATTAAAATAGCAATAAAATTTAAAGCAGTCTAAATAAACTCTTTAATTAGCATTTATATATTTAGAAAACATTATCATATATATAATATTATGAAAATATGTAAATTTTAAGAAAATGGGTTTATTGACCAGTAGACAAAATCAGATAGGTAGCTGAAACTCAAGGGTACTGGTGTCAAAAATACTATTCAGAGAAAGATAACAATGCTTTTGGCTGCTTTTAAGGGGTCTTAGTTGAAAGGCTAGAGATACTCAGACATGATATTAATGGAGACATAGATCTTTAATTCAGCCCTTCTATGGATTTGTGAAGAATTAATTTTTATATAGATCATGGATAAAAAGATTTTCAATATACAAAGATGCATTCTTTTATCACTATACAGGTAACAAATACATGTTTTCTTTTCTTTACATGATTTGGCCAGGACAGGATGCTAAGATTTTTGTCTTTCTAAGGCTTTCAGTGGTGTTTCTTTCAATGTTTACATTACACTAGTTCTTAATCTCTTACGTACTTTAATGATATGATTATCATTCCTTTTGCAGGGAAAGGGAGGTGTTGATTGTTTTTTTTCACTAATTTTCCTAAAAGAAACGGTTTTGTTTTTTTAGTTTGTTTTGTTCTTTAATAATTGCTTTGTAATCTTGATTTAGCTTTCTTTACTGAATGTGGCCATTTTTTAAAGCAGGAATTGAATCTTTTCAGTGTAAATGAAACAGAATGTTTGCTTCAGCTTCTGAGTCTTTTAGGAGCATTCTTGAAGAGCTTTGGTGTTGACTAAGATAAACTGTGATAGCAGAGCATGTGAATGTCGTTACACTAGATACCTGTTGTATTAGTCTGGGGACTTTGGAGAAACAAATCCACAGCAACTCATGTATAAGAGTTTTATGCAAAGAAAATGTGCATCACGAAAACATCCCAACCCAATGCTGCCCAAGCCCACAAGTCCAACATTAACCCATACCTAACACCAGTCCACAAAGTCCTTCACCTCACAAAACAGAGGCAATGATGCCGACTGCAGGAGGAAAGCTGAGTCAGTGAAGGAACAAGCATCTCAGCAGTAGCAGGGGTCTCCACACGGCTGCTCCAGCACCCAGGGCTGCATCGGGATAGGTCCATGTAGCTTCTCCTTGGGGATGTCTTGTAGGAAGTCAATCTTGCAAGCTGAAGCAGGGAACTGCTAAGGCAGCTGCACCCGATACAACCATCACAAAACAAGAGACCCGAGAACTAGAAAGGCAAGGCTTCACCACCCATTTATCCCTCCGCCTTTCAACCAGCACCACATGTGATTATCGGCCAGGCTGGCACAATTAACTAACTCACCTGTATATTATCAAAACATAGAGGTGTGGTAGATGGATGGCCATAGTGGCTACAAGAGTAAACTCAAATATAACAATTTTTTGGACCACAAATGACCAGGCAGTGTTTTGTTCTGTTGTACAAGGTGAGGCGATGAATCAAAGAAAACATGATGGTACCGAACAAGAACAGCGTATTATCAGTGGGGAAACTAACTTATTTTAAGTTATGTTTTAAAAATGTTCATGTTTGCTACTGGAAGTATGGGAGCAGACTGTTCTTGCCTGTATATCTGGATAGAACTAAACTTTATTGTCCTATTAAAGAAAGAAAATATCTTACTTTG